TGCAATTTGCCTCCATTGCCTAACACAGTTTGCTGATGCCTCTTCCGTGCTGAGGGATGGTGGTGGTAATACTGGAAGAAGAACAGTGGGCATGGTACAGAAACAGACTGTACTCCTAACCATAGTGTTGATGTGGCTTGATGTAAATTTGGATTTGTTTTCAATGGAGAAGTCAGGATGTGCAGTAGGACAAAGTGGAATGTACAGCGTGATAGCTGCTCCACACTTCATCTCTGTAAATATTTAGCGAACACTTAACATAGGCTAATTTGTAAAGCAGAGTAAATTCTTGTAGAATGACTGTCTTAAGACATGCTAAGAGCATTTACAAAGCAAATTCTAACTAGGTTTCCTTCCTCCCTACTGCAAATTGAACTATATCAAGTTATAGAAAAGGCATTAAATTATGAAGCTTCTCCTGCATCCACTGTGAGACCAGACTGTTCATCCTTACTTCTCTTCTACCTCAAGACTGCTTGGTATCCTTAAAATCCTCTGATGAGTGCCTTGTGGAATGTCTTTTGGAAATCCAGGTAGGTTAAATGAACCGGCATTCCTCTTGTTTTGTTCAGCAGGCACTACCTATCTGCACTGTACCTGCAAAGTGGTGTCTCAAGCCCTCAGTCTCTCAGCAAGGATTTAACTCTCCTAACTTCCCCTTAAGTTCTGCTGGACAATATCAACTCAAATACATAAAATCAGCTACTGCCATAGGATGCTCTGAAAATCTTGTAAGATCAGCTTGGGAAGGCTGGCTTACCTTCATGAACATGCTGAATCCAGTTTTAAGGAGATCAGTGAGGCCTGATGACATATGCTCAATATCAACAGGATCAAGTCGATCAGGATTACAGATCTCTTCCACGACCTGTTTCAGCAGTGGTTTGTAAGAAGCCTGCACAAAAAGAACAAGGTCTTGTGAATAAACCTGTTTAGACTTGGTGCAACTGCTCAGTATTTTATTTCCATTAAAGGTTATGAAAATCATCATCCTATAAAGGAAACCACTCAGAGAGTTTGTGACCTTGACTGCAAACAGTGTGCACCAGCAAAACATAAAACTGAAAGGACTGGAAGACAGTCACACATTTACTCTGTCCTATGTGTATTAAATCAGTAAAGAGAGGCAAGGAAGGAAGGGGGACTTCTAGTTTATCTGGAATCTTTTTGGAAGTAGTGCAGAAACAGATAACAACAGGGATTAGACTCTGTTGCCCATTATGCACCCAGATCTCATTCCCTTTATAATGATTTTATAAACACTTAAACAGGGATTTTTAGGAGGGATGGCTTACTGACCACTCCTGCCTTCCCACGGATGTCATGTCCCCACTGAAGTCTGGATATCAGCAGGGCTGGGAAGAGACCAACCTGCCTGTTTGCCCCTCATGGAAGAGCAGAGCTAAGGAGTCCCTGTTAGTCCTTTAGCTTCTATGGCCATGGCATTCCACGTAATACTTCCGCCTGTGGAAAACTTGGAGAAAAACAGGACAAACAACCCTCCCACTGCCATGCATTGTCAGAGCTTCGGAGAAGTTAGGGACCAGGAAAAGTGGAAAATGTAACAGTACAAATGGTCAGCATGCTGGAAGATCTACTCCCAAAGGATCAACCTTGCATCCTCTTTAGGGTCCATAAACCCACGCTGAATATAAATTAGTAGCCTAGTAATTTCCACATTTGTGCACTAATGTTTAAACCTCTCTGCCATCCTGAGAAAGTTTTTAAGATAAAATTTTCACAGTCTTTTGGAAAAACACTCTTAATGAAAATTCGAGCTCACTTGGTTTACACTTGGAGCTTTGTTTTGCTGCTTTTAACTTCGCCCAAACTGCAACAGAACCACAACCACTTCAGTAAGTGCAACTGTCTTAGAAAATTAGCAGCTTTCAAATTAGCACATTTGTTTTCCTTTGGGACTAGCCCAGGTATATATCATCTCCTAGATTTCTTAGGGGAATCATTAATTTTGTAAAGATGATATCTACAAGAGACATCTTGCAAAATAAAAGTAAAAATGAGATGGAAAACAAAAAGCAAGCCACTTGGCTTGAAACTAAAATTTTCTGGAGTCATTAAAGAAATGTTTTTCATCCAACACTTTACAGTGAGAAACAAAACTTACAGTTTTTTAATACAATCCTGTCAACAAAGATTTATACAACTCATTTAGTTCTTCTCACAACATGTGCATAATTTTTAGTTGAGCCAACAAAGCAAATTACAGCACACATGAGCTGCAGGATCTTTTAGAACATGTTAAGATTTCTGTCAAATCTAGTCACGCAATAAACAACTGTTTGAAAATACACATGCAGTCATGAAATTCAATGTATAAAAATCTGTTTAGTATCTTCATAGATGAGGAACAGAAAAACATCAGGAATGAAATATTTTAGGAGCAGAGATCAAATCACAGTTTAACAGAGAGGCTTACTGAACAAAATTAAAGGAAAAATAGCATCTGACTTCAGACAAAACTATGTACTCAAAAGATGTTAAAAATGTGCTGTGACTTTGCATGTCTGAATTTTCAGCACCAAAACTCAGTGCCCTTCAAAACAATCCAGTCAGGCTACGCAGATACTAAAATGCAGATAGTATGATCACTTACTTTTTTTAACTGTGATAGTTTCAAATATTATTAAAATATTTTATGATTTGAAATTAATCTATTAAATTTTTAAGGTGTTTTTATTTCTGTAAAACCTCCAATAGCTGCATTAATTTCTATCTCAGAATGAAATTTTTATCAACTTTAGATTTTGGTGGGCACAAATTGGGTTTAAAATATCTGTTAGAAACCTCAATGGCTACATCTCAGACAAGATTATAAAAAAGAAGAGAGAGAAAGAGAGAGAAAGAAAAAGAATGAGAAAAGGAGAGCCAAGGATGGAAGGAGGAATGGATACAGAGGAAGAGAAGGAGGAAGGGAGAAATATACTTAGATCAAGATGAAAGTAGTTTCAATAACAGGCAAAAAAAATACTCTCTTCTTGCATGGTTACTACATGAACTGCCTTGATAACCTGATGAAAATATTTGTCATTTTATATAAGACATACAAACTTCAGTGCTTTATAAAAAGTCCTTCTAAGTTCCCACTTATTTACCTTTTCTTGATTCTTAAGAAGAAATGGAGCCTTCTCAGCTTCTAACAGATGTTAGTGAAAAAGTATGTATAGGCTAAACCCATTCCCATAGCACTAGGCAGAGCTGGGAATGTGTAAGGTCATAGGATGGGCACTACTTCTTCAGAGGAGCTAAAGTGATCGCACATAGCCCATGCATTTAACACCTGCCAGTCAACAGAGAGGCCCATTGGTAGGGAGATGTATGTATGATGGACAATCGTGTACTGCCTGCTTATTTCTACTGTTATAAACCTCCTGGACTTCCCTCAGCAGAAGGTTCACCCTATTCAAGCAATTAAATTGAATAATTGAAATATTTAAATTCAATTAAATTGAATAAGCAAATAAATTGATCACATGGCCAGATTAAGGGGTTGCACTGTGTGAATATATCCTTGCTGTGTTCCAGCTCTTGTCTCTAAGCAGACAACCTCTGCTTAGAGGATTATGTGCAAAGAACATACTGATGCTAACTACACTTTCAGGAAACCTTTCTTATCATCTCACTGCCCCCACACTGAACTGTATTAAATGTTTAACAGTTTTCCCCATTTTGGACACCAGATTGGTTCTGACTGCTAGGAGACTTCAGGAACAGGTTTTCCCCTCCTTAGATTTCCAGCAACATTTTGCAACAGTCATGATTACTGTTCTTAGAAAGCAATGCTTAATTTGAACTACATCCCTTTGCTGGCCCACAGCACTGTTATGAGTTTGGAGGAATTTTTTTCTGGCTCGAGGCTAGAATCAAGTTTTATGGTCTCTCTCTAAATCACCGCTTTCCGTTGTAAAACTCTATTTTTAACTGAAATAGGTAAAACACTCTGGGGGAGACAGAGAGAAAGAAAAACATGGTCTATTAGTCCTGATGACCTAAAGTAATATCACAGTTCATGTGTTCCTATTTTAGAAACAGAAGCTCCATTTGTCACCTATTTACAAATGGGTCTGCCTCTCACACTCATAGGGATGAAATATAAAATACATGGGAATATAGTCGCTATATGGATGTGGAAATCCTGCTTTGCTATGCCCTGATAGGTCTTAGTCAAGAACCACCAAGACCTAGCCCTGCCTTTCACAGGCATGTTTTGTCTTACCACAGTGCTGCAGAGCAAAGCCCAGATTTCTTCCTCAGATAATTAACTGTAGACATTGAAATGGGCAAGCCCAAGTTTGGGCAAAGGACTTGAGGAAATTCTTGATAATTAGGTCAATTATAAATTTCTTTTACATGGGCAGAATGCATATAGTATTAGCACATCAACAAAACCACTGCTGTAATATTGACAGTATGCTAGCGAAATAACATACACAGCGAAAAGAAAGATCCACTTGCCTGGTGGGTGTTGCTGCCTGGATTATGTATGGAATTAAACTGTTTCATGTGCATTCGAACTCTTGTAATATCCCTGAGGGACTGAAAGATACTGTCCAGTGCATCTGTGGCTTTCTGAGATGTCAGGTTCAGCGATGAGTCACAGCCTAAAGAAATAAACAAATACGCAGCTCAGTGAGTGAAAACCTTTCACATGTTCCGATAATGAGTAAGAAATGGATAATTGGGAGGAAATTTTTAATTAGTTTCATCATGTTATATTCCAGAAACTCAAGGGCTTGTTAGATAGCATGTCCTCAGCGTGGCACAAGCTAAGCAAGAAAGCAAAAATCCTAGACAGCATGCAAAGTGAACAGCACCTCTTTAACATTTGTAACCTCAATCACACAGCATTTTCGGCAGCACAGGGCATGTTTCGCTCTCCAAAGCAAACAAAAGGTCCTGTGATAGCAGGCCCCAGAGTCCCACTCCCTGTGGAAAGAAGCCGGATGGTTTGCAGATCGCCTTGGGCAAAACAGCCACGAAGAGGGGAACTGCTCCTCAGGCATCATACCTGGGCCCTTGCTGGCATTCTGCTGACTCCAAATACATTTCCTACATTTGCGACAGGAGAAATTAGAAGAGTTTGTGCTGAATACAGCAGAAATGACAGCCACACATTGGGAAAGATTACCATGAAAAAGTCCTTATCCCTCAAAGTGGCACAGTTACTACTTTTGATATATTTTTTCAAAGCACTTCTGCTAAGGTGTAATGGTTATCGCCTGGTGAGGCCAAACTCCTATTACAGGATGATGTAAAAGGTCCCTCCAGGTGGCCAGGCAGTGCCTTCGTGAAGAGAAAGTATTAGTCTTGACTCCATTCCCCTCACCACAGGACCTATACTGCACAAAAGCACTGAAAAAACGCTTTCTCAGCTGACCTGCTGATAAGAATTAGTCAAGTGAGAGATAAGTGGGTCACCTGCTATTTTTATTGCCTTGTCATCACAGCACTACTCCCTTTGACATCTCTGCTTGCCTCTTTCCCACTTGACTCCTTGTCCCTGTGGCAGCACATCCATCACAAAATAACCCTTCTTGCCTCATGTGCACACCAACACACTCACTCCTGCCTACTGCTACTGCCTTCTCCGGGGATGTTGCTGTAGTGGCTTGTGTGTCCATCCTCCAGTTCTGCAACTGATCCTGCACTAGAAAACCTCTATTTCTACGCAGAATCCTGCTGAGAGGACAAACCCTGCAGGTCAGCACCTGCTGGCTTGCATTGTGCTGTGCCTGTGGAGCCTGACACTGAGAACAGGCATCAAAACTCTCAAGGAGGCCCCTGGATTTTTGGGTAGGAGGACCCTGAACAAAATTTCCTCTACAAATATAGGACAGACTCCTTACATGCTAAACTAAAAATAAAAAAGGTAATACTTTCAAAATGTACAGGTAATTTTTAACAGCTAACCTGGATTACTCTTTTACATCTGTGCATTCTGCACAGTAGAATATATATATTTTATATATATACATATATATGCATACACATGCGCATTTATAGAGGTCTGAAACCATTCCTACTAGATGGTGATTAGACACTGATGTTTCACTTGTCTGAACATTTTTTGTTGAGAAGCTCCAAGCTGGATCCCCAGCTGGTGCAATAGAACAGATAAAATGACTGCTGCAGGGCTACATCAAACCAAGCTGCTGAGGATTTGTGCCATTATAACCCACAAAGCAGTGAAGTGAGCACGAGCTGGACCTCAATCACTTCCATGTTATAATTCTAAGGCAGACGCTCATCTATTTTTGGACAGGCACTTGAAATTAATAATTTTTTTAATGAGTGCGAAATAATTACAGGAAAATTTTTGTTGTAATGCATGTACAAGATCTGCATGCTCGGATACTCTGACCAAAATTTGTTTCAAATCAGCTTGTCACTTCCCACTTCTGGAACTGCAGGGCAGTTTCCAGCAGACATGGTCTGCCTTTGTAGCTGGAATCCCTAGAGATGCTCCTCACCTTGCCTGGCCCAGCTCTTTGTAATTGGGTCATTCTTCTCTTGAACAATTTCTTGGTGAAGTACAGCCTCTGTAACATCACTCATCACTTGAACCTCATTACCAGGGAAATGCTGTCTGGAGCTTGGGTTTTTCTTCACAGCTTGTGCTGACACATTCAAGGGCTGGAAGAGGTCATGAAATCACTCACCCTCACCATGTGTTTCTCAGGCCACATCATTTCATTATCCAACACGACCAGTGTGTAAGCCTTAGTGTGCTGGGCTGTGTTCAACTCTGCCTTCTGACAAAACAGAGTGTATCTTGAGGAGCACCAGAGCAGGGAGGGGCCCAGTGTCTGTTTCCAGACACCACATCAGAGTGCAGTGGTGGACCCACTTTGGGACCCCAGAGGGGCACTGGAGCTGAAAATCCAGTCCAGCATCAGTTTAAGGCTGACCACACAGAGGGAAAAGAGGTGTACTTTCAAAGGTTTCTCGAAAACTGGGTTTCCTTGGGACTTTCAGTCAAGAAATATCATGTCCGGGGAAATCAGGGATCTCTTTTTCCAGCCTGACATCCAGTAATTCCTTTTTAAAATGCAAATTAAAAACTAAATTTTCTTTGCAATCCCTTATGGTTGAAATTAAAATCTCTGCAGGGTGCTGTCTACCTGTTGCACTGCAGTAGGGCCGTAGAGGGGAGCTGGGTTTCTTTTCAGCCTGGAGAACAACAGAAGCTTGTTCTGAACAAGTGGCAGGCGGCTACAAATCACCTCCCATTCACACCTTGCCCATGAATGGGGCTGTGCAGCATATGGAGAGCAGAACACAATTCCTCTTCTCTGTTCGCCTCATGCTACCAAGAAATCTGCTCCTTTTACAACAGTGAAGAGGTGGAATAGCTTAGCTGCTGCACAGCTCATGTGCTAATTAAAACAACTCTTCCTGTTGCTGTTTTTTCTTGGGAAGTTAAATGCCATTTGGAGAGCATGCTTGAATGAATTCCTTTGAATCCCAAGCCCTATTATATATAGGAAAAGGTGTTTAAATGAAATTTAGGGATTTCCTGTCAGACTTGAAGAAGCCCAGGTATGGAAAAAAAGAAAATCACCACTAACCTTCACAGGACTAAAGATTTTAAGGCACATACCTGAGATCTTGATGATATCTCAAGAAGAACACAACCTAGTTCTGAGGTAAGTGGTGCCCAACCCCACTGAAAATGCTTTTGTTCTGCTCCCATCCACTTGTGCTAAATTTGAGGAAACCGAGACCGTCAGGAGCTGCATTCAGCAGGATGAGAGTACTGGCCCTTATTTTTGACCTACTTTTGAACTTTTTCATCAGAGAAAGTACATCTCCTCTTAAGCTACACATTTGCACAACCATTAGCACCACAGCTAATCCATTCTCACAAGAAGCTTGGAAAAAGAAGAATGAATGGAGATGCTCTGCTCTACAGTATGGAGTGACCCAGAAACCAAACAGGACCGGTTTTAATACTGATTTCTAGAACTGGAAGATGCTTTGAGAAGAGGACACAGACATTGTGGACCCGTGAGATCTATAATTATAGAGTGACAAGTGACTGATTATTCCCCTCCTCCATCCAAACGTAACAAATGAGAACAATGGACCTGTGCTTAGAGTCTTGGTACATGGTCCAGGCATTATAAATAAATAAAATAAACTTGTTCTTTCTCTAAAGCAGTATGATAATTATTAACACTTTGTGAAGGACTTTGATAATTCTGAGACATCACTAGCCTATGATTCTTACAAAGTTTAAAGTTAAGGAAAGTTAAAAGTTTACCACTCCACTCTGTTTTATTGGTATTTACTTAAGCTCTGTCCATCTTAGGCTCTCTCTATAGCCCATTTACAGAAATAAACCAACGTAAACCCTCCAAACCCTGGAAGAAAGCCAGCAGAATAATCAAGCCATTTTAGAAGCACACACCAAATCATGGGCTAAACCAGAAAACCTGCACTTTGAAGAAGAGAAAATCCAGCATCAGGATTTAATTATGCAGGATTTCATTATTTTCTAGATATGAAGAGCTAATTTGCTTGTCAGTGAAAGACAAAGGAACCACAGAGATATAGGGTGCCTTGAGGGTCAGAATTCAAAATACAGCACTATAATGTTAAACTAATGAAAATCTTCTATTTTTATCCTTTAGGTGATAGCATAGCAAGGGAAACCATTGTTGGTTTTTGCAAGGTAAAAAGAAATGTAAAACCCCAAAACAGGATGTAATTTCTGTGATTCTTCTCTCACTTTTCTTTCCTATGGATTCTCCCACACATTTGAATCTTTATTTCTAAATCTGATTTGTATTAAATTGTGCTCTCTGATGCATCTGAAAAGGGAAGCTGCAAAGCAAGTATGACACTGTGGGACAAGAAAGAACAGGTCACAACACAAGACATCTGTCATTTCCCAATAGTTACATCAGCAGAGGGTCTGCTCCAGGCTCACTCCTTGCTCTGCAGCCCCAGCCAGAGCTTGTGTGCTACTGGCTGGGCAGCCATGTCTGTGCTGCTGGCAGCTCCCATTATAAAAAAAAAAGAATCACAGGATCATTTTGCTGAAGCCCTAGAAAAGCAGTGTTTGTGCTGCTGGTAGAGGAGATGGAGCTCATCAGCTGGAGAAGGGGCATGCACTGAGGTACAGAAATAACCTGTCCTTATCCACAGCCTTGAGACGCTCTTATCCCATCTCCTATGAGCAATGTCAGCAGATTTCTAAGGTGTCATCACAATTCAATCCCTTTTCTCACACCCCCCCCCTTCCCTCTGCTTTCTGCGATGGCCCCTTGCCCCAGTCATGTCACAGCCTTTTGTTGCATCTGGGAGGCAAAACCACCCCAGCACCATGTATGAAAAGTTATTTGTCCACCAGAGGTGAAGAGGCTGAAACTCCTCTGAGGTGTCTCAAAGATTCACACCACTGAGATTTCCCAGTCCTGGGCCTGATCAGCCCTTTTGCCAGTCCACACAGCACAGAGTCATAGAATCATAGAATGTTAAGGGGTTGAAATGGACCTTAAAGGTCATCTAGCCCCAACCCCTTCTGCTATGGGCAGGGACACATACCCACTAAACCAGGTTGCTCAAGGCCTTATCCAGCCTAGCTTTGAACACTGCC